TAGGATTTATGGATCCAGCTTAAGGGCTCATCCCAGGCAAAAGCCTTCTTCCAAATGATGTGTCAGCTCAGGTGTTCAGGGGTTTTAATGATAATGTCTTAGTTCTTTATTGGATAATAATACATTAAAATATTGTTAAAGATGCTGACCCATGAGCCCCTATGATTTTGAGGGAGGTGGGCCTGTCTTACATGTTAGGATCTGTTAGATTATCACCTCTACCCATGTTTGATAGGACATTTGTACAAATGGCTTACTGCTTGAATCTCAAAAGAATATTATAGAAACTTTTTTTAAAACCTCACCTGAGGACATACTATTATTGATTCTAGAGAGAGAAAGGGAGAGGGAGAGAGAGAGGAACATCGATTGGCCTCTTCTCAACTTGCCTGACCAGGGAACCCGTGACCCCTCAATGGACAGAACAATGCTCCAAACAACTGAGCCGCCTGGCCAGGGCAGAATCTTTATTATTAACCTAATAAAATGCCATGATTGAGGCACAAAATATGTGGCCCATGGTTTAGGAAATAATATTAATGACTTTGTGAAGACTCAAACTGAATTGATAGCACCAAGAGGGATGGTCTCTTTTTCCATCTAAGTCAGTGCTGCTTATTTAAGAAAAAAAACAGAAGCTTATTAGAGGCCCTTTTTAAATTAGCCTGAATACATTGATGTAAAACAATCCTGGGTTTGGGGAGTATGAAAGAGAAAAACGTTTGGAGTAGAACTTCCTTATCTACAAGGAATGGTTGGTGTATGGTGTAAAAAAAAAAAAAAAAAAAAAAGGCTTAGACTATTCAAGTTGGAAGACTAAAAATGGCAATTCAGTTTCCTCTCAGAAACAGGCCTTGCATTGTGTCAGTGGGACAATGGAAGTAGAAGCCAAAGTCAGTTTATTTTGAGGTTGCTGTAAAACATTTGTCCCCCATTGGATGACTGGGGACACCTGGAGCTACAGTTGTGCTCTGACCTCTTCCTCTGCCGTATACGATGATCCCTCAGGGAACACGGGACTTCCTTGCTATTGCCAAATATATATATATGTTCTTTTTCCAACCTGATCCTCTCGCATCCCTAAAATAATCAGCACGAGCAGAATGAAGCAGATGGCACAAGCCTTCTTTGGCACACTGGCAGATCTGTATCACTCTGTATTTTTAGAATCAAGGGATTGGAAATTATGTCCTGAGATGTTTTGAAGGAAGTCTTACTATCTTTCTATGGTGACAGGTGTTGAAATATTACCGAACTGAAGACTCACATGCAATCTGTGCGTTGAGTCTCAGAACAGACTAATTATGGTCAAGACCCTCCCTGTGTTGTTCTCTGTCGGGATTGTTGGACGTTTGCCAGGTATTAGAAAGATATTCAAAGTCTGTTTGAAGGATGTGGCTATAAAGCTCATCAGGTTTCAACCAAAGACTGGAATCAGCAACAGCCAGCCAGCTCTGGTCAAGTACGTGGTGATGGGAGATGTTGTGTTATCTTCACGGTTTATTTTTTTAAAATAGCTGAGCTTTGATCCTTGGCCGCAGTGAATTTATAGTCTGTTGGGAAAGATTATTTTCATAGACGTTTGTGATTATATCATGAAAAACTGTGCAAATATTTATATTTGGAGGTCCATATTTAATGAAATACACAGCTACAGTGAATGAAGTAACTATTTATGAACTTGAATTCAACCTCAAAAAATATTTCCTGAATAAATTAAAGAATGTTTACCATCAAATAATTAATCCAGTTCAACATCTAAAGACTAACTTTTCACTCAGTGTGGGGCTAGGTGTATTTAATAGACATATCTAAAACTCAGAAAGATAAAAGCCTTGGAAATGAAATGTTAAGTATAAAAATGTTTAACTGGCTTAAAGTTTTTTAGTTCTTTGGGAGAAAGTTCAGAGGGGGAGTTAGAGGAAATGTGCCTCACTTTTAAATAAAATGTGGCCATATCTGAAACTCCCTGACTTTGTACTTACCATCTTTGAAGGCCCAAGACAAATGTAGGTAATGATGTCCATGACTGTTGAACTTCTGAACCTAGGGAAGTGGCTAGAGATTGGATCTAGGAAAACTTTATTAACCCCAAAGTACAGACACCTTTTATTTTTAATTGAAGAAAAATGTTTCATTTGGTAAGGAGTCAGTCAACCTTGATATCTTTTGAGAAACAAAAGAGTGCAGGCTAATTTTTACTTGCACCCTCATATGTCCTTTCTGTATGTGTAGACGTGTGTGTTCAGACTGCTGGCCCCCCTAGTAGGAATAATGGATGATGAATTACACGTAGGGAGAGAATATGGCTTTTTTCTATTGTATCCATAGCTGGATGGTGAGAACCATGCGCCAGCTGATGGTTTCTTTACCAATCCCACATTTCTGTACAGTGTGTTTTAGACTACAGCATGCTTGCAGAACTACCTTCTTTTAGATGGTTGTTCCCAGCAGCCCATGCACAAATGAGGGAACTGAAACTCAGGACACAGCTAACAAGTGGCTTAGCTGGAATTAGAATGGGGAATCTTCCTGCTGTATTTGTAGAATACATGACTAGATCTACATGAACTCCTTTGCTTTAGGGGAACACCGGAGGGTCCTCTCTTTGATGGTGAAGCTAAGAGCCAGCCTGTGCCGCCCAGTCCATCAGCCGTCAGCTACACATGGCTCCTTCACTAAACATTTCCGTTTCTCAGCGTCCCATTTTGAGTGTTCAATAGTCTTCATATACGTGACTTTTCCATCATCACAGAGTTCTGTTGGACATACTGGGCATCTTTCATAAAGTTAGGGAGTTAGGGAGAATGAATGTACTGAGAAGCTGACAAAGTGTGCATGCAGGGGATTGATGTACTAGTAGATGAATTATGAAATCTTCACCCCAGACCAGCTCCTTCTGGGTGACTAGTACTACTTTGGGTTCAGCTAAGATGAACTTCACACTTCGTATTGTGTGCACATTTTAATCTTTTGACAGACTTGGGAAGAACCCAGAGCAGTTTCGAGTGAATGAGTTGAGCATATTTCAGCTCTCTGCCTTTTATAGCTGGGCCAGTGTGAGCCAGACTTGGGCTGGAAAAGTAGACGCATCATGAGACCTGGCAGCAAGCACTGGGCCACACAGGGTAATTCCTGGAAGGAATTATTTTGCGGCCAGCGTTGTTGGGGATGCCTCAAAGCAGGGCCTCTGGCATGAACGGGGTTACTGTGAGGGAACGGGGAGTTGGGAGATGGATCTGGACAAGAGTTCAGCGCAAATCACCACAGTTAGTCGCAGAGGAGAAGGTGTGTGCGAGCTGCCCTCAGAAAGGAGATTTGGTGCCAAGATGCTGGCTTTGGCTCAGAGCCGAAGCTCCGATTCAGAGTGTGTGGCATGTCAGTCCTGAGGGTTCCCAGCAGGTGTGGCGGATGGGAGGGTGTCAGCCAGGTGCCGGCTCCTGTGAACTCGGTCCAGACACTAAACATCTGAGCTAGTGAATGGGGAACACAGAAGTTTGCCGCGATTTTGGCCACTAGAAAAGGAACGTATGTTTTGTCTGTGAACATGTGCTGTGGGTTGATCTAGTTAAAGATGCTCAAACTGTTATAGTAGTTTCATCTAGCTAGACTCTAGCTTTCTGGTCAGAAAGTAACTGAAAAGGTAAAGATGAACTTTCTACAACACAGAGCAATTTTGAAGCCTTGGCGGTGAATGAATGGCTGCTGGACACAGACTCCTGCTGTGATTGGCCTGTTGGCCATGAGTGCCCTGTTTACTTGTCAGAGTACAGAAAGTGCAGGCCTGTGTACAAAAGCTCCTCCGGTGTTCAGTGTCAGCATATGGGTCTCTAATTGGCACTTGAGGGGTTAGTGTCTCCTCCCTAATTCCCCCCCTCTCCCATGCAACCCCTCCTCCCTCCCCGAGTTACTCACCGAGACTCTAGGTGCCAGAGTTGTACTGTGTTGTTTGTGACACTGTCTCAGGCTCTTGGGCTCCTCAGATGATGACCAGTTGGTAGAAAAAGAAGAGCCTGGTTTTGGGAGCTTTGCTTGGGTTGGAAGGGTGGTCACAATTAGAGTTCTCCTGGAAGTGGCTGACCAAACGGGTGAGGCTGGGCATGAGGAAATGCCCCCATCAACAACAGGGGGAGAGGTTAGCAGAAACAGTTTACTAGATGTGGCGTCTACACATTTCAGTGCCTCCTGCGCCTTCCCCGGAGCCATCGCCAGCGGTGTTTCCTGGGAATCGTGATCCCCCCTCCAGAGGCTCACCGGTGACTTGAGCTCGCTGTGGTCACACCTTGTTTCCATCGCAGAGTCGAGTCCTTCTGCACGGTAACCTTATAAGCAAATGAACTTGGATGCATACAAGTGATTTTGTTGCATCCCCTAGAAGTTTAAACAGGTGTGATGAGTAACACATGCTACCTGACAGCGAGGGGAGAGGAATAGAGCCCACGGTTTGACTAAGCAGGGATGACTTTTGTTTCTGTACCGGTTACACACTCCAACACCAACTCTCTCCAGTTGGCCAGCTGAGCTTCACACTGACCAGAGATCATGGTTTGAAGCAGATAGTACCGAGTCTATGGATAAAGAGCCATCATCCTCACAAAGAAAGTGCTTCACCCACCAGCAAAACACTGTGCTCCTCGCCACTCCGGAGAAGCACCTCTGAAAGGACCCCTTAAAGCCCCCAGGAGGATAGGGCGTCATGCTGCATCAGTAGTTGATTCTGAACTGGTGTATGTGTCGGGGGGAGAGGGAGTGGAGGAAAAGCATTGTTTTCCAATAGCTCCGTGGTCGGCAAACTGAGGCTCTTTGGCCCCTTGAGTGTGGCTCTTCCACAAAATACCGTGGCCTGGGCGAGTCTATTTTGAAGAAGAGGTGTTAGAAGAAGTTTAAGTTTAAAACATTTGGCTCTTAAATTTCAATCGTTCTACTGTTGATATTTGGCTCTGTTGACTAATGAGTTTGCAATAGCTAATGCAAGAAAATGGTTTCTCTTCTCTCCACAGTCTGCAGATTACCTTTCTACTCCTGGAATCTCATCTGTGCCCAGACGTTCCCCTCTGAGCCTGAGACTGCACACACCCTAGGCCGTGGGACAGCAGGAAGCAGAGCTAGTGGCTCCTGAGGCCCAGGTCTGAGTAGAACCAAGCCCAGGACACTGCCTTTGCCCTGGCCTGGAGTTCAGGCGGGTGGTGGTGGTGGTGGTGGTGGTGGGGCTGCCTCTGCTCATGGGCTCAGGACCAACCTTTTTTTTGTGCTTCCCTGGCACAGCATTCAGTCAGCGCATCTGAAAAGGAAGGTGTGAGAAGCAAAACCATGGCTGCTGCCTACCTTTGCCAGGTCTGTGGCCAGACGTTCCTCTCCCGAGAGAAGTTCACTGTCCACGGTCTCACTCACACCAAGGAGCGGCCTTTCAAGTGCCAGCACCCCGAGTGTGGCAAAGCTTTTGTTTCCAGATATAAGCTGATGAGGTGAGAGCCTTTAGAAAAGTATGTGCTTTTACTCACGTCTTTGCATGGCTTTGCCAGTCCTCCGACTAAACACTGCATGGGAAAGGGACGCAGCATGTGGCGCACTGCAGCCTGGAAGCCGTGTCTGGTGTGACTGAGGTTTCATGTGACAGTTTTGCTGTGCCCTGTCATTCTTTCAACAAGTGTGTCTTGTAACAGGCCCCCTCTAAGAACTGAAAGATGAGGCGGCCCAGGCTGGGAAGAGAGTTGTGCACACAGACTCCTTGAATTAAAATGCAGTCTGAGCTCTTTAACATCTGTGCAAGTGGTGGACAGCAGGGTGCCTTAGAGTTTGCTTTGGGGGGTCTCTCTCTCTCTCTCTCTCTCTCTCTCTCTCTCTCTCTCTCTCTCTCTCTCTCTCTCTCTCTCTCTCTCTCAATGGCAGCATTCCATCCCATTTCCCTCAATTACAACATACGCTCCATTTTATAAGCAGAGGTTGAGGGAGAAAATGACTGACTTGCTTCACCAGAAAGAGGACATGGGTCCCAATACAGCAAACAGTGGAAGCAGTGGGAGGGAGAGAGTCAAGGAGAGATGATCACGAGGCAGGAGAAACCAGTCAGAGCGGCTATCCCTGAGGGGGTCCCAAGGCTGCTGACATGGGCCAGGTGCCACCCCACCGTGGCGCTCTGACGAGGGGACAGACAAGTATGATTTTGTGGGTTGAGCAGTAAGAGGAGAGGTTGAGGGAAGGAAGCAAGTTGTTAAAGTAATTTCAGCCATGAGATGATTACGTCCTGGGCTGAGACTATTGTACGAGTAAGCGAGGGATACTTTAAAAGGGGGAGACAGGATGCCAGGCAGAGGGGAGAGTGAGAAATTCGGAGGAACAGAAGCTGGTGAAAGGGGCACAGTGGTGTCATGTGCCTTTACACGGCCTGATGCAAACCCAGAGCAGTTATCCCTGGCTGGTAAATGAACTCTAATCAGACAGAAACCCTCCACAAAGAATAAAGCAGAGAGGTGCAAGAATGGAAGATCCAGGACAGAGCATTGGGGTCCAAGTCACTAGTTTGGACCAAATAGAAAAACTGCTTCCGTGCCAAGTCTGTCAGCCAGTCCCCTCTCCCATCTGTCTGCTGCTATCTCTGCGGATAACTTGTACAAGAGTGTGGCTATTTTTTAGAGATAACAGACTCAACAAACCCTTTCTGCAACCTGCAAATGTTTTTAAATATATCTGGAATTTGCAGACATCGGCATCATTTCAGGTCTTTCAACCACCTGCTGCACTGGCTCCTGTAATCAGCACTGTCACACCTGTCTTCGTTATCTATATGCCTTTGCTTTCTGAGCCCTTATGTCCTGGAGGGAAGGTGCAGCTTTCCTTCCTAGCCCCTGCACAGTACAGGCTACTATTCTTTAAGGGAGACAAATGGGAAGAGGACTGGAGGTTTTTGCTTTTTTATATTTAAGAAAATGACAATTAGATTCTGATCAGCTTTAAGTTTTGGAACTGGCTTCCAGTCTTCCTACAATAGGGACTACCAGTGGTTTCTAAACATCGTCTGTAGGCCCCATACAGGTTTCTGTCCGAGGGAAGGGTCAGGAGTGGATAATGTAGGGTAGAAGGTTGGGTGCACTTTGGACTTGCATTGTGTGTGTGTGTTTTAAGAAATTCTTTTTTCATAGAATGAGTTGTTAGAAATTCTAAAATCAACAGCTCAATTGCATTGAAATTGTCAGTAGGACAAGCTTTAGCTCCTGAAAGAGTTAACTGTCGAAGGGAGCTGCAGCAGCCTGGGCTGTGTTTGCGGCCACCGGTTGTTTACAGTGCTGTCTTATAAGAAACACTAACGCATAGGACTTGCTGTTTTGTACGATACAGTTAGTAAATGAACCTTTTTTAAAGATGACTAACTCAAGGTTCCCATATAGCATTAGGTTTTTAGGCTTTAGGAATTCAGTGGAACTATGATAGAAGTGGAATTGTGCGTTACTGATACAAATATAAACTAGCTGTTGTGAAATTCCAGACTGACCAGGATGTCTGTGGCTTGCCCCTGAAGCTCAGCTACGGAAACATGTGTCTCAGCTGCCAGGAGGAGCACCGGGGTCCTTCTAGAGAAAGGCCTGTGAATGGTGCCAGTAAAGTCACTGTGACGTGCAGGCACTTGGTAGAAGGGCTCTCTCTGGGCCCTTGAGGGAGACAGGGGCTGCGTACAGCGGGGAGGATAGCTGGTAGGAAAGTATTAAATGGAGGAGACCAAGACATGAGCATAAAGATCTGGGAGGAGCAGGGTTCAGAGCCCCATTGCTAGGGCTGGCATTCTGGGTACACTTAAGATGCTGTCTCTGAGGTTAAGGACAGACTTTTTAGTTTATGTCCAACACTTGTCTCAATCAATACAGGCGAGTTGGAATTGTATTAGAAACAATCTAAAAATGGGGGGAGGGACTATTGAGTCACTCTTGAGAATTCAGGAATGTTCATCGTTAAATAACCATTTAACCAAGTCCTGAAAGTATTTTTCTTGATCGTATATTTTTAAATACTTGTATGCATTTAGCAATTTCTTTGTGTACACTAGGAAAATATGTACTCTAGCCATATTCTTTGCAAGTGTGAAAATTGCATTATGTCTTTAGCAGCACGTGTTTTTTTAAATTATTATTATTATTATTATTATAAAGTCTTATGTGGGTGTGGAGTCTGGAAAATATAGAAAAAGACTTTAAAACTAAAAACGATTTCTTAAACCACCACCTAGAGAAAACTACCGTTATCATTCTAGTATTGTTTCTCTACCTTTCTTCGGCTCTTAAAAATCTGAGTCAATTGTGAAATTCTGCCTTCTGCTCATAGGCACACGGCTACCCACTCGGCCCAGAAGTCTCACCAGTGTGGTCTGTGTGAGAAGACGTTCAACCGGAAAGACCACCTGAAGAACCACCTCCAGACCCATAACCCCAACAAGGTGCCCTTCGTGTGTGAGCAGTGTGGGAAGAAGTACCACACCACGCTGGGCTACAAGCGGCACGTGGCCCTCCACAAGGCCAACAGCGGCGACCTCACCTGCGGGGTGTGCGCCCTGGTGCTCAGGAACACCGAGGTGCTGCTCGTCCACCTCAAGACCCACTCCGAAGACAAGCCCTACGCAAACAAGCAGAAGAAGCACCGGTGCGACCACTGCGATAGACTGTTCTACACCCGGAAAGACGTGCGGCGCCACATGGTGGTCCACACAGGCTGTAAGGACTTCCTGTGCCAGTTTTGTGCCCAGAGATTTGGGCGCAAAGACCACCTCACTCGCCATACCAAGAAGACACACTTGCAGGAGCTGTTGAGAGAGAGTATGCAGACTGGAGATTTCATGAATCTCTTCCACACTCTCTCTCCTCAGTATCAGCTGAAGGCAGCCGCACTGGTTCCTTTCGCTCTAGGAGCTGCTGTGCAGAATGGGCTCGCCGGCGGCCTGCCCCCTGAGGTGCACACCCTCAATCCCATGGAGCCACCCTGCCAGCCTGTACCACCGCTGCCAGAGCCTCTGATCCCCCTGGCTCCCATGGCGCCTCCCATGGCACCTCCCAACCCTCCTCCCCAGCCCCTCCAGGATCACAAGTACCCCACTGCTACCTCATACCCCCCACTTGCCAACCTGCCGCTCAAAGCGGATACTAAACCGTTTTGCAACATCAATTTGGTGGAGGAGGTGCCTCTGCAAGAGCCTCAGTCACCTCACAGGCTCAACCTGCCCAGAGAGCTGCCCATAGATGCTGTGAACATAACCATACCTGCCTCTCTGGAGATTTCCCCCCTGTTGGGCTTCTGGCAGCTGCCACCTCCTCCTCCCCAAAATGCCTTTGGGAATGGCGCCCTGGCTCTGGGGCCCGGGGAGCCCCTGCCCCACAGGCTCGGCTGCCTGGGGCAGCAGCAGCAAGAGCCCTCCCTGGCCATGAGTGCCATGGGCCTGGGCCAGCTCCACCTTCCACCCCTCCCCCATGTGTTCCCAGCAGGCACTGGCACTGCCATCCTGCCTCATTTCCATCATGCATTCAGATAAGTGGCTTATAAAGCACACTTATTCTGGAAGAGGTTTTAAGGAGCATTTTAAGGTTTTAAGGAGCATTCTAAGGTTTTAAGGAGCATTCTAAGGTTTTAAGGTGCATTTTAAAAGTTTTATGAAGCATTTTAAATGTGAGTTGTAATACAAGGAAAGATTTGGAAAGCAGGACTGGGAATATGGCTTAATCGGTTATGACTGGCTTGAGATAAGAGTTCTAGAACTGCATGCATCGTGCCAATCTGTCCTGAGTGTTCATGATTTGTTCACGCTTTGTACCAAATGTAATAGCAAGTATTCTTTAATGGAACTGCAACTGTTGTCATAACCGACATCCAGACGAGGGCTGCTATATATAGTTGTCAAATTGAGTTTAATCGTAAGCCACGATCAAATCATGTTGGCTAAATAACTTTATGTAGCACAGCCTAAGGAGGGGACTATGGGAAGGTTTGAATTTCTCCAAAATGGGAGATTTTTTTTTTCTCTTCTTTTTAAGTACAACAATAACCTTTATATTGCATATTATAAGTAGGCTTTGTATTTTTCCCCCATGATTCTTCTTTTAGTTGGATGTAGTGTGGTTATTATTGAATAGCCAACCTGTACTTTTACAGAAACAATTTCTTGTGGAATAATAGGTGTTTCCATTTTAAACAAACATTTTAAATGTAGTTTGAATATTTTCCACAAGATGCTACAATGTGAATTATCACTTCATTTATCTTAAAGACTAAACTGGTTGTCAGTTACATCTGACAGAAAAAAAAAATCACTGTGTAACCAGGTTAAGTGATAAAATCATCCAAATGTCAGTCAAAAATAGTAGTTTGCTGACTTTAATGTTGATTATGTTTTAACGGGAATTTAAGAAATATTACTGGAATTTTTAAATATATATATATTAAACAAGATTTTTTTTCTTTGCTTTGTCTGGCTTAAAGTACTGCTCTGCTTAAGTATATTTTAATCACCAAAAAATAGATGCATTTTAAAATTTATCATGTATTTCAATATTAGTTTTACTCAGAATAAGATTTTGCAATGTAACTGTAATCTCGAATTTGTATCTAATGAGTTTTAAGAATATGAAACCTAACCTTTTTAAAAAAAAATTCCTTTGTCTTTTGTCTTTAGAAACACTCTGTATGGAAATATATCTTACATATAATAAACACTGCAAATTCTGACTATGGCTTGTTTGATTTTTACTTACAGTTATACCACCTAACCATCCTGATCTAGACACAAAACATGAACACCTCAGTAGCTGGCTCCCTCATACCCCCTCCTGGCCATTACACCCCCAAAAAACAAACAAACAAACAAACAAAAAAACTAGTAGTCTGACCTACTAGAAACCAACTTTTTTTTTGAGTAAAATTATGATTTAAACTAGAAGCTTATGTGCTTCAGTAAAATTCACAACACTAAAAGTTTATTTCTGAAAATTGTTTTAAGTTCTGAATCCTTCTATATTAAGAATTTATTCCTGATATACTGGTCTAGGTCAGAATACTAGCTACTGAAGTTCAGTCTACTCTGGGCCAGTGTTACAGTGGTGTTTGCCATTACTTTCTAGCATGAATTAGAAATGTATTCCTTAGTGGGATTGCTTCATAAAGTATTCCCCACCCGGAAATCTGACACACTTACTTATTTGTGTTTGTTTTACCTCTAAACAAGGAGGGAGTAGGCAGAGAAAGGGACGCCTCAAGTCCCTTTGCCCATCAAAGAAGCCTGGCAGCCAAATGGGAGAAACCTTGGCTCTTAGCCCTTACCAGTGGGGCCCATGGCAGCAAAGGGCCAAGGCATTTCAGGAAAGCTGCCTGGGGTGGGGCTGTCACTGTGGATCCAACTTGGTAGATTCTTAAACTACAGCTTAATCTGGGGGAGGAAATGAGACAAAGGGACATAGGTTATCCATCAGTGGGAATCCACGTTCTGGGATGTCTGAGTCCGCTCCCATATCCCCTCTTACCTCTGTGAGGGACGCAATCTCCCAGAGAAAGGAGAGAGAGGAGTGACTTACCTGGGCTACATCTGCCCCAGACGCATAGTCTAGTAGTCTTCAGTCAGTTCCAGGACATACACCTGACTTCCCTGAGCATAAAACATAGGATGTGATCCCCGAATACATATCCAACGAGTTTCAGATATTGTGTTTGCTGCCTTATAAGAGGGAGTAGTTCGGAGTTCTCCTACTTAAATTTAGACAGGAAAATGGCTTTTAATTCCTAATTACAATTCCCTGAGTTTGGAGAAACAATAAAAAGTATTAGATTAAGAAGCATGGGTTAAGTATAAATGACTCTACAAAAAGAATTATTAACCCCTAAGGCAACAAAAATAGTTGCAAGACCACCTCCCCACAGAGTTTAGCAACCAATGTTGACATGAACAATTGGTGTCTGATTTGTCCGAGATAAATAAATGGTTTGAGGCCGCCTAAAGCATCCTTCCCGCTGGGTGGGAAGGTTATTGTAACCTGTTCCACTGCGGTGTTTCCCCAAAGCCAATTGTGTGCGCTGGTGCTGGAGACAGTTCCACACGGCATACAGATGGACACTTCAAACAGGAGTTGTTCCTTTTTATAATTTCATGCTTATTAGAAGAAAATATCACAGAGGGGATTTCATGACTGTTGTGTAGGATTAAGCTGGGTAAAAATGATTTTCCTAGTAAGTAAGTAATGCTAGACTCCATAGACTGTTTTACTAAACATTTCTAATACCAAAGCAATGTTTTTTAAAAAGACTATTAAATATCCCATAAGAAAAACAAACAAGCAAACAAACAAAAAAAAAACATGCTGCTGCAAGTGAATCTTCGAATCAAGCATTATCATACAGATGAATGCCTTGTTTAATGATTTGGTTTTGAATATTTTGAAGGGAGGAAGTAAGAAAATTTGACACTAGTTTTACATGTCCTACATGATGTCTCGAGAGGAATCAGGCGTTGAAGCAGACATCTGCTTCTTCCTTTCAGGTGGCATTTTAGGCTCACAGCTGTCCAGGCTGATGAGCTCTAGGGAGCCTGTCTAAACACAGAAAGAAAAGGCATTTACTAAAACGTGGTTGTTGTCACACTGAGAATGTTAAATACTTCATGTAAGCTTCTCCACATGTTTAAATGTTTCCAACAAACAATTCACAAAATGAAAAATGTCCCTAACTTCATACCAATTCTACTCCGTGTCAATCTCAGGAACTGTGCTTCTAGGGGGGCAATGTGTTTAGAAAAAGGGACCGGGCAGTAGCCTTCCAGGTCAAATGAAGAACCCATTCCCCTTTCCTATTAAGTCAACAATCAAATGGAGTGCCTAAACCGGTTTGGCTCCAGTGGTAGAGCGTCGGTCTGCAGACTGAAAGGTCCCAGGTTCGATTCCGGTCAAGGGCATGTGCATTGGTTGCGGGCACATCCCCGGTAAGGAGTGTGCAAGAGGCAGCTGGTCAATGTTTCTCTCTCATCGACATTTCTAGCTCTCTATCTCTCTTCCTTCCTCTCTGTAAAAAAATCAAATAAAATATATTTTAAAAAAAATTAAATAGAATATCCTTTTCCAACTTGAAGTTTAACAAAAAGTATCTAGAGCCTATTTTATTAACCTAGCCTCGCTCATATTTCTTTTGGGTTTGCCTGCTAGGGGGTTCTGCCCTTAAGGGCTCATTCATTCCCTGTACCTGGCATGTGAGATGATCACCAACGCCTGGATTAGAAGTGTTTGTTCTTACCTGGCCTCTAGGGCTTAATCTTTTTTAGAAGATTTAGTAAATCCTTGTTTGAGTTTTGATCCAGAAGCAGGGTCCGCCACTAATCCTTTACAGACATAAACAGATTTGTTATTATGTAAAAGCAAACAGCAAGAAAGAAAGAAAGAAAGAAAGAAAGAAAGAAAGAAGAAAGAAAGAAAGAAAGAAAGAAAGAAAGAAAAGAAAGAAAGAAAGAAAGAAAGAAAGAAGAAGAAAGAAAGGAGGGAGGGAGGGAGGGAGGGAGGGAGGGAGGGAGGGAGGGAGGGAGGAGGAAGGAAGGAAGGAAAGAAGGAAGGAAGGAAGGAAGGAAGGAAGGAAGGAAGGAAGGAAGGAAGGAAGGAAGGAAGGAAGGAAGGAAGGGAAGGGATTGTGAAATCCTCCCATTGGATCAAAGTCTATCCCGTTTTGTTTTCTTCTGTAGCTATAGACAAATATTCTATCTCTATCCTGGGCCAGATAATAAGAAAAAACAGGGACTGTCCCAGGATAGTCTCTCTCTCCCCTACCCTCCACTTACCCATGGATGGGCCCTTTGGACTGCCACCTCAGCTGGCACCCTGACTCAATACCTCTCCACACCACTGCTCTGAGTCTCAGAATGGATCCCGAGCAGTCCATGCCCTCACAATTCTTTATCTGCTCTCATGCCAGCCTTATGGAAGCATGAGGTGCCTGTCCCAACCCTGGTTTTTTCCATAGCGGTGGACTTGCTTCACAAACAGGACTATTTTCCTTTGTGTCAAGCAGCTGTTAGGTATGCAGAGGTAGGAGTTTATGGTTACAGGCATACCATAGTCTGTCTTAGACCACATGGTATGGGGCAGGATTCTCAGAGAAAACATTTTTTGTAAAAAGGAATAAGTCCCCTCTTGTCTACATGCCTGGAGTGTTTTATGAAGGGGGAGTAACTAAACAACCCAAGCAAGGAAACTGTGAATCAAACTATCAAAGGACTCAGAAGATGTAGGAATAGAAAGAGCTTTAGTGTTCATTTTACCCAAAGATCTGCAAGTTTTACTCCTTCCAATGGATCTGCAGGGACCCTCTGACACTCGCTGCATTTGCTAAACAATGGAGCTACTTAAGGAGGGGGTGGTGATGCAGGGAAGATGCTTGACTTGATCAAACCCACTGGGTCCAGAAAAAAAGCAGAGCCCACCCAGCAAAGTTACAAAATGCAATTCACTAAATACATGAAGCAGCACAGCTCTGGGGCCCAGAACTACATTTCATGGTGGTCTCAGACTCCCTGTATAAAGACACTGGAGAAGCTGATGCTCAGAGGTGCCTTCCAGCAAATCAGTTGTTCTTACATCAAAACCCTTGAAAAAGCAGCCACCAGTAGATACTTGCTGACTAGGCTATAAACCCATTTCCCATCTGAAGTTTAGACTCTGTGGAATAAAGGAAGAGCTAGACCATTTTCTAAAACAATTATACATAAATATATATATATATATATATATATATATATATATATACACACAATATTATATATATATACATATACAATAGCCTATATAATGAGAGAGGAATATGCTAATTATCCATTACACCGTGTAAAGACCGACCACATAACAACCAGATCACAGATCAGCAGGAGGGTGGGCTGTGAGCTACAAGTGGGCAGTGGAGAGCTACAGGAGGGGGCAGGCAGCAAGCTATGAGGGGAGTGGGATGGGGGGAGCTACAGGAGGGCAGCAGTGAGCTACGGTGCACAGATTCGTGCACAGGACTACTAGAATAATATATATTTTACTAACTCCTTAGTGTCTATATATTTTTGACTTAATTTTCCCAAAGCATACAAAGATTTGGTTGGCTCTACTATTTTCTATTGAATTATTTGTGCAAATTGCTTTACCTCTCTCATCTATAAGCTAGGGATATGAACAGTACATTTATCCTCTTTTGAGGATTAAATGAGGATTAATATACAAAGTGCCTAGAAGAGGGAAGAATTAAGTGTGGCCTATTGTCCATGAAGAAGGGAGTTATTTAGTATAGCAAAGAAGTAGACACAATTGAGCTGCTCACCACCAGGAAAACAGCTAAATAAATTACACAGTATAATTGTGATGTGATACTCTTGTTTTTAAAGAAATTCTTCTCTTCACTTATTTATTTATGGTCTTATTTATGTTCTGTTTAATATATAGTTTGGTTTTGGACATTTTAAATGTTTGGCATAGAAGAGGCTATGTTGGAATATTTACAGCTTCATAAATCTTCATCCGATTAGTGGTTAACTTTTTGTGATACAAAAAGTTTCAGACAAATGTAAAAGAATAAAAATCTGTCTCAGGCTAGTAGTTAACAGTTGTGATCAAGAAGCTTTCAGTTTTATTTTACAAAATTTGCTCATTTCTAACATGAGAAATAAACTTCTTTTAATATAATCCTTTCCCACACTTTAAAAATCAGCAATAGTGTTATATATTTATAGGCAGCTTTTAACAATCCTGTCATATTTGTACTAACCCAAATGATTCACAGTGACAAAACATTTTAGTAACTTGATCACAAAACCATATGGACAATATGAATTTTAATATTACAAATACTGTTTTATAAAGATAGAATTTATTCTGCACAGGGTAAAAAGAATGTACTATTTAGGTCTCAAGTTTGAATTATCAATATGCTACTACAATTTTGTATATCAGAATCTAAGTGTTGCAGGCACAAAAAAGCATACTGCTAGCCAAATGAACAAAGTTTTGGTGAATCTCTCTCACATGCAAATCAAATAAATTTAAAATCTTAAGAAGAAAAGAAATTCTTTTGCCATAGGGAAATGTTCAAAATTTGTTAGTGGAAAAAAAAAATCAGAATGTATATACATGGACTATGATCCTAATTTTGATAAAAGGAAAACAAGAAAAAAAAATTGAAAACTTATAGATGTCAACAATGGTCAATATGTCAGAGTGTGCAATTTTGGATGATTTTTTTTCTTCATATTGTTTCTCCATTTTCCAATATTTTTTACAGTAAGCATTAATATTTAACATGATAATTTTTTAAAATGCTCTTTCTCAAAAGAAATTTTTGCACGCTAACTTAAGTGGCTAGAAATGAAAAGTCCCTAGGTCACCCGAACTGCCTAACTTACAGTGGCAGCCTGGATCACACACAGCCTGGGCGCCTGACCCCGCAATTACAGCCCTCCCTGCACTAGGGCCAGCCTTCCACCCCAACTTTAACTTCTATTCACATCCCTACTCTCTTCTATGTTTTGATGGGCCAGTTGTTTCCACAGTTTGTCCTCTGCATTCTCATTTTCACTTCTTTGTTTAATCTCTTTGCAACTTTTCTCCACTGGTAAAAATCTAGCTCATCCTAAAGGCTCCTCTTAAGGCTGCCACCTTCACAGACTTCCTCTCTCAGACGCAGTCTCCTCCATAAAGCCTCCTGGGCAAAGCTGATCTTGTTCTTGCATTTCCTCAGGAGCTTTGTATCCCATTGTTAAGTGTTAGTTTATATCCCACTGTTAAATATTGACTGCTACCCCTCTTAAGAACCCACAAACACAAGAAACAACCATGCATACTAATTATGTATTCAATGAATCTTTTTAAACATCCCTGGCATGTGTACCAACTTCATATAACATCACATGCTCCTTTGTATTAGATTCTCCTGCACACGAATATCTTCTCATAAGACTCTAGGATGGATAAGGATTAAGACTTACACACACATATCTCCCGACTGTGAATTTAGAACAAAATGCTATACATGGGAGATACGAAATACATATTTTACTCAAGAGAGTTGAAGAATGAAAACCAAAGTTTTAAGGGATTAACTACAAACTAGATGAAAAGATAATAGGATTATGTGGAAAGCAAGTGACAACAAGTGGCCTAAATGACTGATTGGCAATCTAGATATAGCAAAGCTCAACAACAACAATTTTTAAAAGACCCTCATATTACAAATAGATGAATACTGACCAGAACAAATACAATGGATAGTAGATGTGAATCTGATTCACACACAGGTCTGTTGACATCAGCAAAGGCACTCAGTGCTTTTCTCCAAGACTTAAACATTTTTGAGAATCGACCCCACTCTACCCGTCAATATACTTCTGCTTCCTTTCCAGAAGCTCTGAATGGATGTGAGGCCATGGGGGGGAAAACAAGAAATTAAATTGAAAAGGTGTCTTTTTTAAAAAAATATGTTTTATTGATTTTTTACAGAGAGGAAGGGAGAGAGATAGAGAGCTAGAAACATCGATGATAGAGAAACATCGACCAGCTGCCTCTTGCACACCCCCTACTGGGGATGTGCCCGCAACCCAGGTACATGCCCTTGACCGGAATTGAACCTGGGACCTTTCAGTCCACATACTGATGCTCTATCACTGAGCCAAACTGGTTTTGGCTGAAAAAGCGTCTTAAGTCCACCTATCTTTGGCACAGGTAAAAAAAAAATCAAACATCATGGCAAACTGTTCAAACCATTGCCCGTTGTTCAAGTTAAAATTCTGAATACACAATCTCTGGCCAGTGCACCCATATTAACAAATTCACCCTGATCCAATCATTCTCATATGTATTCCTGAGGATTACATACACTACTAAAAAAGAAACATGCAAACTGACCATATCTCCGCTATGCCCACAAGCCATGCCCACCAGCCAATCAGGAGCAGGTATGCAAATTAACCCAACCAAGATGGCTATGGCCACAGAGCGAGCAGAAGGCTTGTGTTTCTCTGGCAATAGGGGAAGCTAAGCTTCCCACACACTCTGGCTGGCCTTGGCCTCCACCCAAGGCTATAAAATTTCAATTATAGAAGATAAATAAATCCCAACAAAAATGGCTATAGCCACGGAGTGAGCAGGAGGTTTGAGTTTCCCCCGGATGGAGGAGGCCAAGCTTCGTTCCCCCCACCCCCTTGGCCTGCCCTGGCCTCTACTCAAGGCTACAAAATTTCAATTATAGAAGATAAATAAATCCCAGATACAAGGGCCGAGGGAGGGGAAGTGGGGGAGATAGCTGGCCTGAAAACCACCACAGGCCCCTCACCCAGGCCACCCCACACCCCAAGGAAACCCACACCCTGATCCGGAACACCCTTCAGGGCAAACCAGCCAGCCCCCCCCCCCCCCCATGCACCAGGCTTCTATCCTATCTAATAAAACAGTAATATGCAAAGTCTTAGGGCAGGGATAAGAAATGCAAAATGCTTTCTCATAAAGCTAATTAACATGACAATTATATACATAGGCCAATAACTTAAGAGGGAAATTACAGAATCAAGATATCAACATTTTACCATACATTTCATTCAAAAAGTACGATATTTGTTGAGCACCTCACATATGCCATGAAAAATTCTAACAGGTAGATATGTAGCACTATAATAAAAAACAGACAGATCCCTGTCTTCAGAGGAAATTGTGGAGAAATTAATTTTAAATGTAGAGGTTGGGGGGCCTCATTTGAGGATGACACTCAGCAAAAAACTGAAGGGAGTGAGGGGTGAACAGTGCAAATTAGTGAGGGAGGGTTTGGGTTTTCAGCAGAAGGAACGGCCAGTGCAAAGGCCTGGACTGGGAATGTGCAGGCCTATGAGCTCAAGGAACACCACAGAAGCCACAGGGGCTGAAGCCACAGGAAATGATGGTGGTGAGGGCAGGTGGTGGCAGAGAACCCAGTGCGGGCCATGTTAAAAACTCTGCCTTTTCCTTAGCAATACCACCATGGCTATAAATGGCCATTACCTAGTGAAAAGCAAATGCAATTCCATTTTGCTTACATCTACTGGCCTACCAATCTATTTCCTAATGTAGTGGAATGGTGTCTTTATAATGTTCTTCTTACTGTACTGAGACACAGGATTTCTGAATTCTCACTTAGGCATTCTGCTGATTTTTAAAAAATTACTTAGTTCAAGCAAGGAAACACTTTTCTTATTTTCAACACTGCACCTGACATGCTGTCCTCTCCCGTTTCCAAACCTCTTTCCAAGTTTACTAGACTAGGGAATAGAGGCCTGAGACTCTGTTGCTGTACTTGGACTCGACTTTGCATGTTGTCAGAGTTCCCTAATCCTGATGAATTAAGAAATATTCCCTCTTGGCAAATAAGGTTTGACCTCAAACTCAAAGGAGTGCTTTTTACTGGAAAGGGAACATTATAACATATTCTTGGAAAAAATAAGAAAACCATCCATAATATACAGAAACTGCCTTTTCTGAAGGACATTAATCATTATACTTTAAATAAAAAGCTTATTAGTGTAAGTTTTACCAACGAATATATACATAATTTGATATGTGTGTGTGCATGTGTGTACGGGGGTGATGGAGGGATGGGTGGGTGTGTGTGAATACTAAAATCTAACGCATTATTAAATTTTCACAGATTAGGAAAAAAACTACTGACTTGGATTTATGGGGCTAGAGGGAAATTTTTAAATATTCATTCAATTCTTAGCCCATGGTAAGCAATTCATGAGGAATTTAAAAACTAACAATAAACTTTCCTGTGCTGTGTATGAACTATGAGACTGGCATTTCTGACTTTGGTTCTTATTATTACCTGCAAAATTAGATGCCTGGCCAGAGGTGCCATATGGCCATGAATGGATTCATCTTGCCTGCACAGTGCATGCTGATCATTAATAAAGAAGAATGCCACATTTATTAATGCAGCTCAACGGAGAGAGAGACCGCAGGAGAGATTTAACTCAGCTCTGCTGCTACCAGTTGTGTGCTTAAACAAATAACCTGCCTCCCAGCTTCCGAAGAGGAAAACACTGGGAGGACTGTTGTGAGGATTAAATGAAATGGGTCTAGCACGTAAGTCAGTACTGCAGTGGGGCTATGGCTCTCTTACTCTGCAGACATTTTGTTCTAGGCAGGAAACCCTTCCCTTTTTCTTTTCTTTTTTTCCAGCTTTTTTTGACTATCACTGAATGGGATATGATATGAGCTCAAGGTGCACAAAGTGAAGATTTGATTATGAACATATTGTGAATTGATCACCACAAGGAAGTTAATTAACATCCATCACCTCACGTAAGTTAACTGCTGTGTGTGTGGTGGTGAGAACATTTAAGATTTGCTCTCTTGGCAACTTCCAATTAAGTGATACAGTATGGTGAACTCTGGTACATGGTTTCTATATTCATCTTATAACTGCAATATGGTATCCTTCGACCAACATCTCCCCATTCTCCCACCCACCCCTACCCCTAGCAACCATTATGAGGTTCTCTAGATTTGAGTTTGACTTGGCATAATATCCTCAATGTCCATCCATGTTGTCCCAGATGGCAGGACCTCCTTCTTTTTTATGGCTGAGTAGTACTTCATTGTGTAAATTATGCACCCAGTCTTTATCTATTCATTCCTCAATAGGTTGCTTCTGTATCTTGGCTATTTGAAAAATGCTGTCATGAACATGGGAGTAACAGATCTCTCTCGGAGATTGTTTTCTCTTCTTTTCATCACATCTGATAAGCTGTTACCTCCCATTCTTCATCTCTTCTCAATTTTAATAGCCAGGGAATGATGGTTGTAGACCCTGCTGCTGTAATCGGATCTGACTCTAGATGTTGTCAGAGTTACCCAAACCTGATAAATTAGGAATTGTGCCCTCTCAGCAAATAAGCTTTTTCCTCAAATAAACCCATGTGTCTTTATATCAAAACGCAACACTGGATATCACAGCTTTTGCCGGCAGCCCACGAACCCCAAAGCCCACGGTGGTGGCCTCTGACACTGGCGCGCGATGGTTGAGATGCTCACTCTGACTTACCTGGCTTGGCCGGGGCCCCTTTCGTGGCCTCAAGGGCCCTGTTCTGCAGCAGAGCTCCCACGGCACTGGTGACAGTCGGTTCTTTTCTTGAACTTGTCTGACCCCTTCCCTACCGAGAGAGGAGGCAGATCTGTAACCTCAGGCAGCACACAGGAGGAAAGTTTTCCACTCAGCCACCTGGGAGCGGAGTCACCCTGGGGCCAGCTGCACCCAGGGACGGGGGCACGTGCACCCTGCACCTTAGGTGGCCTGGATCCTAACCTCCCTGCTGGTGCTCAGAGCCATGACAGGGTGCAGGAGCTTCCATTCCATAATAGCACGTTTGGGGGGATTTCGAAGTTAATCCTGTGAAATGAGTTGTATGGAGTCAGAGGACATCGCTTCATGTCAGTAAGGATAGTAATGGAACATTTCAGCTTTTCATTACACTTGAAGATGCTTTTGTTTTTAAATACACGACCAGAGAAGAAAAACAGACATTGGCAGGCAGCGAATGTTTTAAACATGGAATCCAGCACCCCTGCCCCACAGCCCTCCCCGCTGAGCCGCAGGAGAAGAGGCACATGAATGCAGAGTAGGGACCTAAAAGGTTCCTTGGTGGCGCCCTGCTACCCCCTGACCGATCCCCCCACCCCCAACATCGCCATGGAAACAACACAAAGATAACCTGTTTGTCAAGTGAGAATTCTCACTTGGGCAAGGCTAGCTCTGAGATTATAGCCGGCAATTCATCCCCATCCAAACAAACAGAGCTATTTTCAGAGGGTATAGCACTTTTGTAAAGTTGATTTTATTTAAAATAGAAACACATTTCAGCGGTTCTGTTCACAGCCCTTCGGAACGGAGCGGGGCCCCTCCCTTTCTGTCCCAATTCTGAATGCACTTCCCCCCGAGGCAGGCCCCAGCGTGGAGGAGCTGGCGGGGACACAAGCCCTGCTGTTCAACACACTCACAGCGAGTTGACTCAGAAAGCAAGCAGTTTGTCTTCTGTGCTCCCAATCACCACTTAGCTCTGGAAAACAAGGCGGGGACCAGGGCCAAGTCCCTGGTTCCAGGCCGGACGGCCAGCTGGCCTCCTTCAGGAATAAAAAGCACTTCCGTTGCTGCTTCCCAGAGCTCCCTTTGGCCCCACTAAACCCCGACTCACTTAGGGAACTGGCCAGAAGAACCATTCGAAGAAATGTACTCCACCCTTTGTGCTTGAGAAAGAGGAGGTAGAGTTATACTGAGAAAACTCTTCCAAAACTAAGTTGAATTCAAGCCAGAGCAGTCATATCCCCTCAAAATCGGGGTGACTTTTCCACCCACAGAAAGGGTCAGTGGGGTGGGGTGACAGGGAATGAGGAAAGCCAGGGACCCCTACAGGAAGGCGCTTCGCTTTATTATCTATTATCCTCCCAACAAGCCGGCAAGGTACAGATGAAAGTGAGAATTTAAGTAACTTGACCACATTTGCTGCAGAGAGTCAGTTACAAGGCTGAGATTCAAACCCTGGCTGCTGATTGCAGAATCTGGGCTCTTTCTTCATTGCACTGTCTCCCATACTATTTCAGGGGCAAAGGTTGAATCTCTCCAACTATATTTACCATAATCACCCTGCCTGCTGCTCCACCAACACACCCATCCCCTCCCTCCTGTGTCCCTTTATCTAGATGTGCAGTGTTATTATCTGCCCAAGCTTTGGAGCTGAAAACCTTCTTGTCCACCCTGACCCTTTCCCCCACTATATCCAACTGTCTTCTCAGTCCCATCAGTTATTTCTTAAAATTTCCCCCATCCTCCATTAGTCCTCTCATTCCAGCCCATAACTCTTTCCCCGTTGGTATGGCTTGTCACTGTCCTCCTGCCAATCCATCTCGAACACTAAGTACAAGGGGAATCTTTCAAAAAAAAACCAATCCCATGTCACTTCAGTCTATGCTGTTCAACCAGTCAGCACAGCCCACAGAGTGACACATGGGCTGATCACAGACAAGTAGACAGAAGGCCCAGAAAGTTTGGGAGAAGAGAAAGCAGGAGCATCATGGAAAGAGGTGACAGGAGGCGGAAAGAGAACTTCCTGGGCCCCTGAGGGCCTTACAATCCCTGCTGCCAGGCCCTCGGCTGGCAGGCCTTGGCCTTTAGGGCCCCTCTCCACGCAATCCCCCTTTCCCTCCTCTCTGAACCAGCTTGTCTCCAAGCCCTTCTACATCCGACGCCTGCCTGGCCTGGTCCATCCTGCCTCTCTCTCAGTGGCACCTTTAACACGCTGGGCTCCTCAGGCCACAAGCTGGACCCGAGAGGGGAAATGTCTGCAACTCTTTGAAGCCGTCCCTGGATCCCAGTGCCCTCTTCCTCAGCGCCAAGCCCTTACAGATGTCAGCTACCACGCTGCCTACAGCATTGCTTTCTAGTCCTCTCCCTCCCAGGCAGCCAGCACCAAGCAGTGCCCGGGTCAGAGGAGATGTTCAGGACTGCCAAATGCATGTGCAGATGGAGTGAGCCCACAGCGGGAGTGAGTTGTGGCTGGAGAGGACCCCATCCCCATGAGGAACTGCATTTCGTGGAAATCTTTCTAAACATATTTCCTACTCCCAAGTCTTCAGACCAATTTCATCTTTTCTTGATGTCTGAACCATGTTTACTAGAACAACGGACAGTTTTCATGCTCCACGGTAAGCGATGTTCCTGCTGGCTCCGGTTCTGTTTCTATCCATCTATTGTTCCCTGTTGTCATCTTATTTGTATCTATTTATAACAATTGCTCCCATTTTTCTTACTTGCTGATTCTGTGGCTTTTAAAACACCTGCCTCTACAGAGCAAAAGACACAGCCTAGGGACCCATCCCCTGTGGCGGCTTCCCCATGCAGGCCAGCTTCATTTGAGGGTCACAACTCTATTCGGGGTGGTGAAGGCTGGTAACCATCGTTGGACACAGAGCCTTACTATAATTCTACAGAAATACCACTTATATATTCAGGTCTTCATTCTAAGAAGCTGCAAACACTATGGAAATATTTTGTTCCTACAGCACCCGGAGGACCTTCCCGGTGGTAAGCTGGGAAGGCAGAAGGAGCCTGCTCCCATGACGATGGGTGACTGTGACCGGCTATGGTGATGCTCACACTTCTCAGGATGGATAGCAGGTTCCCCACAAGACCACCTGCTGGCCCAAGGCCTGCGAGGGCATCTGGAGAGAGGCTTACCTGCACTTTGGACTCCAGTTTGGCTGCATCAAAGACTCGGCGAGAAGGCTGTTCCTTGCAGAAATTAATATGCCGGTTGGCTGCATTTTCATTAAACCTCCTCAGACAATACGGGCACTGAATGTAATCTGAATGTAAGGATAACAACAAAAGGCAATTAGCGTTTCAAAAATAACTCCGAAATGGACTATAGGGAAGGAAATAAACAGGATATGCCCCTGCTCCATCATGGAAGAAAAAGATCCTGGAGCCCACTGAGGAGATTGCCAATTCCGGTGGGAGACATGCAAAGGCTCAAACGAAGGACAGTGGAGGGGACTATTCTATTATACTTGAGCAATTACTTCCATGAAGAGTGTTCCCTTGAAATGTTTACATGAACTATATACTTAGGAACTTCCCAATTCAATGGATTATTTAGTGGATCTTCAGTCAAAAAGTAGTCATGGAATCATAGAATGTTAGCATTGGTGATTTGAAAGGGCATAAAAGCTCAGGTTGTGGTACTGGGTGTGGCAGAAATACATACGTGAGTTTATGGGGCCACAGAGGGAGATAGGAATGTGGGCTTTGGGATGGGGTTTGAAGTCAGTGTCACTGGTAGAAAGACACTGCTCTGCAGTGGGAGGGGTTTTCACTAAACTCCAAAGTGAGGAAAAAAATAATACGTTCAAGGAGAAGGTAGTAAAATTTAAAAAAGGGTGGAGATTCAGAAAAAAAAGAAAAAAGGAGGGGTGACTAGAAAGTGGCTCTGGAAACAGCTTAAACTTTTAGTGTTAGACTGTCCCAGACAGGTGGATAGGGGGAGGAGGGATAAATGGTGATGGTGAACACATAGGATAACATACAGATGATATATTATAGAATTGTACACCTGAAACCTACATAATTTTACTAACCAATGTCACATTGAATAAATTCAATAAGAAAAGAAGAGGAAGAGGAGGAAGAAGGAAAAGGAAGAGAAAGAAGAAAAGAGGAGTAGGAGAAGGAGGTAGACGGAAGAGGAGGAGGAGGAGGAAGCTCTGTGGCACTAAGTTTTGTGGATACCCAGTCATCAGAACCTGGCTCTCATTTGCAGTTATTAGACAAGGAGAGAAATAGGAAGTGAGAAAGATCCAAGATCTTCTTAGAGTGTGGAGATGCTCCTAGCAAAGCCAGATTGGAGTCTATCTCTCCCTAGAGCAAGCAGAGAGAAAGATGCTGGGTTTTATTGCAGGTACCTTTCCCTAAGGCAGTGTTTCCCAAAGTGTGGTACACATACTCCCAGGGATATGGGAAGAGTTTGATGGTTGCACCGGAGTTTGGTGGAGATATGCACTGCACCATGCTTAGCTGCACCTAATTCTACGTCCTCATGAGTATGAGGGGTACTCAGCATTACGAAAATTATAGAAGGGGTACACATATGTCAAAAGTTTGGGAAACACTGCCCTAAGGGAAGATAAAATGGATATAAGCAACATGAGAGAAAGCTTCTCCCCCTGCTCCTCCAACTCCCTAGAAGGATCTGAGATAGCACCAACCTTTAGCTCTACGTGCAGGTTTGGGTTAGTCAAAATTCCTACATGTGGGGAGGGATAATTAAGACAGTGATGTCTTCAAAGTTAGGAATCTTTGAAGGCAACTTCTAAAGCATTTGGGGAGCTATTTTAACAAATCATTTCTTAAAGTGAATACTCATAAAATATAAAAACTCAAAGAAATTAAAAGGAAATAAAACATTAGCACTTATCCTAACCTTTTATTTCACACCCTGGAAGATTCATTCAATAGATATAGAATACATATTCTGTGCCAGGTGATACGGTGTGTGCGTAATCAAGGACTAGGCATTCCACTATAGAAACAAAGCTTTCCCACAGTGATAAATTCCTTGAAAAAAATAAAATAGGGCAGCATTGGGAAATGATGAAGGCTCCGACACCTGCCCGGCCGGTTCCGGCCCAGCTCTTCACCTGCTATGTGTGTGAACTCCAGCAAGTTACTCAACCTCGTTAAGCTTCAATTTCTCCAGGACCTACATATCACCTCCTCCATCCGGGTCGTTGTGAAAGGTAACTAAAATAATCAACACAAGGACTCTGCACAGTGGGCGTAGTAGAACTTACCATTATTCTAAAGAAACAGGCCCAGCAAGGTTGTGTCTCCAACGACCCAACAAGAGTGAAACTGCTTAGAAAAAGTAAAATACCAAGTGCCATTATTATGCAGAACTCACACTGGTGTAGAGAACCACGTGGAGCTCAGCTCTTGTTTCTTCAGTTTTAGCAGCTGGAAAGTCAAAGCTTCTATCAGAAAATGCTGCTATCCCTCAGCCCCGGCTGAGTTCAGGCAAAGACAATGATTATGACGATGACTGATTCCTTAATCCCACTTGTTCATTCATTCATTGCTGCCCTTGTGTGTGTTTGGCACTAGATGCCATCACAGAGACAGTACAGTTTGTATTTTGTGGCCAACAAAACTTCAGATAGGACTAGAGGACAAGGCAAAGAAGCAGACCATTGCCATTCCATGTGGTAAGCTGTGGACGAAGGCAGCTCAGGGTCCTCCAGGAGCCCACAGCTGGAACATGAAGCCCTGGCTTAGGGGGCAGTGAAAGGAAACTTCAGCCACTCTGAGAATGGGAACGTACTTTTCAGCAACAATAATCTGGACACAGTATGACTGAGCTACATGCTCTTCTCTCAGCCTGAGTCACCTCTTCCTCTATGGACCACAATGACATAAAAGTCCCTATGGGCTGTTTCTCTCCATAGATGATAGTTTTAAAAGTCTGACTACAAAGGGACTCTTATGAGGACTCTGGGGAGGATGGTCACATCTCATTAAAAAGAAGTGAAAGTAGAAAAGCATGCATCATTTAAAAATGCAAGCATGGCCGGGGGAAGATTGGGGGAAAGGGATATATGTAATACTTTCAACAATAAAGATGTTTTTTTAAAAGCAAGCATTTTGTTAATTTCTACTGAACATCTATATAGACATGGGCAATTTGTTAATTGCCCATGTATATATAGCCCTGCAACAATGGTGACCAAATGTCCCAGGCCTCACAGAAAATTCCAATTATAAATATTCAAAATCATTGTTCCCATAAACTCTTACGACATTCCAGAAAGCTGAATGATTGCTGGACTCACTTATCTCAGTAAGAATTAGAATAAATATATACATGTCCCAAAAACTGAGTCATGAAATATAGAATCATGCTGAAAAAAAGAAAATTAATTGCACACTCGTACATGTGGGCAATCCTATATAATAAAAGCATAGTATGCAAATTGTCCCCTCGACTCAAAGTTAATCTGGGAGTTTGACCAGGGGGTAGGGCCGGCCAGGGGAAGGGAGGGAGACCCAGGCCAGAAGCTGGAAGCTGCTAGGGAGCCTACCAGTGCACGAATTTTGTGCACTGAGCCTGTAGGACTACATATAACTCTAGTTATGGCCTATACTTTTTCTCCTATTTAAGCCTGAGAATATATGGGCTGGCATAAAATTCCAAAACAATCAATATAACTGAATAATTAAAATATGCTCTTGTATATAATCATTTTGTTTGGTGCATGTAATTATAATAAGGCCACAAGAAAGAATTTAATTATAACACCATATATTAGCATGAAACTGTAAAGGGCAGAGAAATAAGCTGCATGTTTGCTTAGACCTTACAAAGAGAATGGATTATTTAAAAACAACAATAATCCTTACATTTTAAATTCAATTTGAAAATTACAGAAATTCACATGGTTTCACCTGACATAGTTCACTTATTCAACTAAAGAACTATAAGTAGTTGTTTAACCCTATAGCTTCTGCTATTAAAATAAAAGTATTTCTCATAAAAGATGTTTCCTTATATGAAGCTTGTTAATATTATCAAATATCAAACTATTATCAAAATCACAGCCATAGCTCTTTTTACTGAACATCTTAGACACATAATATTCTAAATACATTTTCATTAATATACAACAAGAGTGAAGCACTTACTAAAATTATCTGGTAAAGATGTTCACTTTACATTTCCAGATAATTTTTATAGCATAATTACACAGTGTTGTTTTTTAATCGTTGTTGTTGAAAGTATTACATATGTCCCCCTGACCATTGACCCCTTCTTGCCCACCCCTAACCCCACCCCAGGTCTTCACCACACTATATAGAGTGGGTTTTTAACTTTTAAAAACAAACTTTGAGAAATAATATACATGCAATAAAATGCACTTATTTTAAATGTACAGTTCAGTGAGTTTTGAAAAATATATACACTTGTATAACTACTATCCCAATTAAATACAGAACAATTCCATCACATGAGAAAGTTCCCTCATGTCCTTTCAGTCAATATTCCCCCAAGTCCAGTCTCAAGCAACCAAAGATCTATGTTCAACACTGAAGATGCTATAATCTATCTGTCTGTCTATCTATCTATCTATCTATCTATCTATCTATCTATCTATATCTATATCTATATCTATTTCTATATCTATATCTATATCTATATCTAAAAGCCTAAGTGACTGAACGACCAGTTGCTTTGATGCACAAATACAGGAGCTGCTCAATACTGGAGCTACCCCTTGGTGGTCAGTACACTCCCAGAGCAGGAGCACCACTCAGCTGATGGGCACCAGATGCATAGTTCATGGCTGGCTACCTCAGCCCGGAGACCGCAGTGGAGTGGCAGCAATCCTACTGAGTGGCTGGGGTGGCAGGCACAATGGGGTTGGGATGAACAGGAGCAGCAGGCAGGAGTGACAGGCAGTGTCGGACTGCTGGTTTCTGCCTGATCCCTGCAGGCTACGCCAAGGGACCCCACCAGTACATGAATCCGTGCACTGGGCCTCTAGTTTCATATAATAGAACATCCACGATACTGCATGTGTAATGACAAACTATTCTTACTGCTGAATTGTGTTCCATTTTGTAAATATTCCACAATTTGTTTATCTATTCCCTTGTTGATGAATATTTTCAGTTGTTTCCAGTTTATGCTACATAAGAATATGATGAACAAATATTTGTTAAGGACATGTTTTCAGATTTTTTCATAAGTAGCTAGAATTGGAGTTGCTGTAGAGTTAGACCTATGCTTAAGAAAATAACACTACAAAGTGGCTGTACTATTTTATACTCCCATCAGCAGCGTGTGTGACTTCTAGTTATTCCACATCTAGCCATTACTGTATTGTTGGTCTTAACTATTCAAGTGGATATGTAGTGGTATTTCATTGTGGTTTTAATTTGCATTTTCTGATTAAAATAATATTGAATATCTGTTCATATAATTATTGTTCATTATTTTTTGACACATAGGTTCAAATACACTTCTTGCCCTTTCTCTCTTGGACTGTTTGTCTTATTATTGAGTTATGAGTTATCTATATATTCTCTTTTTAAAAAATAAATCTTTATGGTTCAGATTATTGCAATTGTTCCTCTTCCTCCCCCCCCCCCCCCATAGCTCCCCTCAACCCAGTTCCCACCCACCCTCTGCCCTTACTCCCTGCCTATTGTCCTCATGCCTAGGTATATGATTTTTGTCCAGTCTCTTACTACACTCCTATACCACTTTCCCCCAAGAATTGTTAGTCCACTCCCTTTCTATGTCCCTGATTCTACTATATTCAACAGTTTATTCTGTTCATCAGATTTTTTATTCACTTGAGTTTTAGATTCACTTGATAGATATGTATTTGTTGTTCATAATTTTTATCTTTACCTTTTTCTTCTTCTTCCTCTTCTTAAAGAATACCTTTCAGCATTTCATATACTAGTTTGGCAGTGATGAACTTTTTTAACTTTTTCTTATCTGTGAAGCTCTTTATCTGACCTGCAATTCTGAATGATAGCTTTGCTGGGTAGAGTAGCCTTGGTTGTAGGTTCTTGCTATACATCACTTCAGTGGAAAGTATATGAGTGATCACTATACTATTCTATTCCTTCCTTTTTTTCTGTAGATTTGAAATTTTTCAAATTAAAAAGTTTAGGGTAAAAGAGCTTTAGGCTACTAAACTATCAAACTTAAAATGGTTAAAATGATGAAGTTTATATTATGGGAATTTTGTCTCAAAAAAGTAAAAAAAGAGCTGTAGGTATCTGACATTGGAGAGCTAATGTATCTTAAATTGCTCTACACAGTTCTGTTCTCACAAACTATGATGTGAACAGCGTCCCCTGGAGTTATGTAGTGCCATGACACTGGCTGCAATGGTGTTCTCATGTTGAGATAGAGTTAGAAGGAAACATAGAATCTTTAGGCAGAATTGAGGCGGGGGAGGGAGGACAAAATAGGACAAGATAAATTATGTGATAAAAATTTTTTATGTAACTTAATTCCTATTGTTAATCTTAGAATAAATAGAAGCAAGGCATCATTTGGCCAGAAATTGAGCATAGCCTCAACTGGTTAAGTTAATGTAAAAAACAAACTAAACTGGCCACACACCTGGGTTGATGAACGCAGGGGGAGGTGGTGGGAGAGGGCGGCCTTCTTTCATGGCTAGGGCACACTGCTTTGCTGATTGAATTGCAGTAATAAAGTCTTCATGTTGTTGTCTCCAGTTACTTTTCCTCACTGGTTGAGACTACAAACAAACAAACAAAAACATATACTAGCCTAGACTATATATCTCTCCATTATAATTTTTTTTTTTCAGCTGTGATTTGAATTCACAGGAAACAGGACTGTGAGATTTGGAGAGGGAAGCAGAATTTGTTTTTCAAGAGTACTAAAATGGGTTTGGAAAATGCAGTAATAAAATCCACAAATAACAGTAGTGAAGGAAAACACAAAATAATCAGAAAAACAACCTAACTATAAAACCTTAAAGGAATACTTAAATGTAAGTTTAAAAGTGACTTTCTTCCAAGTTAATTGTTAGATTTAATGCTACTCTAATGAAAGTATAAACAAGATTCTTTTTTGTCACATCTGGAAAGTATCTGAAATACATTTGGAAATCTCAGTGAGCATGATTAAAAAGAAAACAGTAAAGGTGGATTATATGTACATGACTTTACATTGCTCTATCAAGCAAGAATGAAACCACAGAGCCAGAAAGAGGCTTTAATGTACTTAAGGATGTAATAATGAACAATAAGGAAGATACTGATAATACCTTGGATTGAACAGCCACGCTCACAGTGAGAAAGTAAGTGCCCTGTAATCTTTGTTTTGAGGAATTGAAAGGCATACGCTTTTTGTTGTAGAGTTTTTTACATATTGGTCCATGCCTTTCCTAGAAAAGAGAGAGTGGGGATTAATTTTTTTTAAATGTACAAATCACCAAGTTTGTAATGCTGCAGTGTACTCAGGCAGCCCTCACTACAGGGACTGAGTTACTGTACCTTCAGAGCCAAGTACATTCTCCAACTCTCAAATCACAGCAGAGCAAATCCATCTGGCTTACCTCGCCCATGTTACACATAACTACATATTATGTTCGAACGGTCAAGGTCAATAAAAGGTCTCTACAGCTAGAGAGACTTATTTCAAATTTGTTTTTACACATTTAACTCTACCACTTGGGCAGTATGAATGGTTCTAAGTATTAAATAATGTTGAAAAGACAAATTTTGTAGTTGAAACTGAAATACAATATTTCTGTCCATTTAGCCATTTTAACTAAGGAAGTTTTGTTGATTGTTTCTTATTCAGTTTCCTGCCTTTACTGTTCCTAAATTTCAAAAACAAGTCATTCAGTAATGTAACAGGAAATTTGAGTTCCAACAACATTAATATTCAGTTTTAGCATCCTTTTGAAATAGCTCTGTGCATGTAGCAAGGGGAAACGTAGCATCCTACCAATAGAATCTTTTCAGAAAAACACCTCTTTCCACTCAGCATTTCAAAATTGAGCTTAAATGGGCCACTTTTCTACATAACCACTTAACTCCTGAATAGGAGTGGAGAGGTTTCAAAGAAATAGTTGAGAACATCTGCAAAAGACAACTGGAACAACCACACAAATGCATCAAGAACATACCAATTCTGTTTAAGTTGTAAACACATTTTCCTTGAATTGTACCTAAACATCCCACATGATTAGTTTAGTCATTTATTACAAATAAATATTACAATATTTGGAAATATTTATGATCAGCAGGGAAAACTTATCTTATCTCACACACACACACACACACACACACACACACATATATACATATATATATATATATATATATATATATATTTATTTATTTTTTAATCTAGCCAGTAGTCCTCAGTATTTGTTACAAAACTCAGGGAACTAACACATTGAGCTCTGCCCATGTACTGACTTTATAGTCTGTTAGTGCACCACTAAGATATTATACTAACATCTTTGCTTTCCCCTCTAAATCCTCTTCATTGGTGGAAATGTAACTCATAAGAGTTACCACTTACATATCAATAGTTGCTGTGTGCAGACCCAACAAAACACATGGTCTATGAAAATCACTGCAACTGTCTATAAACAATCCATACCATTTGAAACTAAAGGAGGGAGATCTGATCAGTTAATCAGATGCTCTCTGTAGCCTAGAGATAGGCATAGGAAGTAAAACTTGAGAGGACCTGAGATCCGCTTGACATTTAGTGACCCCTTTTCAAAGGGCACCTCCTAGGTGTCAAACCCCTTTGTCCCATGGGGCGTGGCCTAGGCTGGAGAAGGCAAGGTCACAAGAGCACAAGAGGCCCTAGAGCTCTCCTTCTAGATTCAGGAAATTCTACCTGCACTTAATTAAAAGAACAGTACTTCGTTTGTTTTTGTTAATCCTCACTTAGGATATTTTCCCAATTTCCTTAGAGAGGGAAAGACAGATGTGAGAAAAGCACATCAATTGGTTGCCTCCTGCACAAGCCCCATCAGGGCCCAGGACAGGGAGGAGCCTGCAACCAAGGTAGGTGCCCTTGACCGGAATTGAACCCAAGACCCTTTGGTCCGCAGGCCAATGCTCTATTCACTGAGCAAAACCAACTAGGGACTTTTTTTTTTTTTTTTTTTTTTTAATTTACCAGAGAAATAAAACCTACAAACCTCATTTTGTAGTCTTTTGCCTCAAATGCAGTCAGGCTTGTAGTTCAAATGCTTGTAGCTCCATGTAAGGCTCCTTGATCTAAATGTCCCAACTAACAACTGCATTATAAACCTAATTTTTAAAATCATCCTTTTCTTGGGAATCTTTTTATAATGTATAATAGCTGTTTGATCCTCTAACTTTGAAATAAATCAAGCTTTAGTCCACCTTACAGGCATCAATCAGAAAAAGAGATGTACAGTTAGCTTGAAATTGGCTTAACAATTAGATCTTGGAAAAGGCTTTATGTTCATTTTGTTCAAATTACATTAAAACCCTGAAATTGGAGGATTCTGTCTTTGTACGTGGCAAAGCAGGGAACAGAGGGAGGTTAAAGGACTTGTCAGAATTAGTGACAAATTTGAGACTAAACGCCAAGTTTCCAGATGCTCCAAATTCAATGTTCATTCCTCTCGACTAGCTAATTTCCCTGGTGCTTTGGCCTTAAAATTTGGATTTCTGATGCTTATAGAAAAGGAGAAAGAGCCAAAACCTCTCAAGAGACAATCAGCTGTGCCAAGATATTTCTTCTGGCATCTTTTCAGTTAGAGAACCAGGTTTCATACGTGCCCTTTTGAATGTGGGCAGCATCGGACAGCTTCCGTGTCCTCTGGGCCTGCCAACCGTAGGTTGTGTACTCCTCTTCCCTTGTTTTCCTTCCACATCTGTCTTTAATCTTTGCCACTGCAGCCTCCTCACTAACTTGACAGTTCATTTAACTCCAATGAAACACATCTACAAAACGTCTTTATGTTTACCAGAACATCTGCTGCAAAGCGTCTTCCACAGACTTCACAGGGAAATAAGTCCTGATTGCCATCTGTATAGGATCCAAGAGCACATTATGTTAGTTTCAAGGAATTGCCTGCCTGAGAAGAAATCACTAACTGGAGACCTCAATAGCTCAATATTTTTCACTCTTTTTTCCTTTCCCACCAACTACAATACTTCCTTCTCTAAAGATCCTCTGTAAACTCACCTGTGTTTTCTTCTCATACCATTAAACAGGTAAATTCCATATCTTTCAGGCCACCAGTGTATAATTATAATTATTTAATAAATATATTCGTGAACAAAGTGCCTGATAGCTTTGCTTTAGACTTAAGTACAAAGTTAAGACCTTAGTATGAAGCCATAAATAATCCAATGGGAATGTCTTGGGGGTTCCTACTAGAATGGAAGGTATGTTCAATGAAGGCACGCCAATTTATCAGAGACCATGAGGAAAACGTTGCCTAGTCATTGAATTTAAGGTACACTTTCCTGAGAATGGCTTCCTCTCTTCCCATAAACAATCTTTGCCAGAGAATAACTCCTAACCATGAAGAAGGAAGAAGAGACTGATGAAATGAACCAACTAGAACTGGTCAGCTTTGATTGAAGTCAGGAAAGAGGTATGATTACAATGAAGAAGCCTATGAAAATGAGGAACATCATCCTAGGGGTTGTGTTCAGAGTCAGACCTCCTGGTGGGGTTAGTGAATGATACTGCTGGCATTTTATATGCAATGGTGAATGAGTAAAGGATTATAATCACAATAGGTTCAGTACTTGCTATTTTTAAATTTTAATATTTAACCATAGTGGTATTTTAAAAGTCAAATGAAGAATAAACTCTCCCTGGCCAGGTGGCTCAATAGGCTGGATGCTCCAGGTTGCAGATTCCATTCCTCATCAGAGGTTGCAGATTCGATTCCTCAACAGAGCACATGCCCAGGTTTTGTGTTAGGGTGAGAATAGGAGCCAACTGATTGATGTTTTTCACACTGATGTTTCTCTTTCTCTCTCTTTCCTTTCTCCTTCCTCTCTTTAAAACCAATGGAAACATACCCTCAGGTGAGGATTAAAAAAATTAAAAAAAAGAATAAACTCAAATATAAAAGAAAAAAAAAAAGGCTGAAACTGGGCCCACTATGACTCAATGCCTCAAAGTACCTGACCCATAGAAAAGTGCTCAATAAATTCTTATTGAATGTATGGGCCAAACAAGAATTGAGTTTCCATCATAGGACCAATCATTCATTCAATAAATATCTGCTATGTGCAACTCTGTGGGAATATTGAGAGAAACCATACATGGGTCCAGCCCAGAAAAGGAGAAAAGTATGTACATAAATTAAGTGAAGTTAGCAAAGTGTCATGAGAAAGGGAAAATATTACAGAATTCTGCAAAAAAAAGAAAAGAAAAAAAAAGAGTTGCACTTCATATTACTTCCTCTCTGTTCATCTGGAGTTGAGTATATACAGATTTAAAAAGCAGTTTGATCATGGTGAAGATTTTATATCAGAATAAAAATCTGCACTTTTTTCCCCAAACAAGGGGAGCAATAAAGAACACCAAAGAGGAAGAACCTGAACTGTGGAAGATTGATGTGACAGAAAGGAAAAAAGACAGGATTTTATTTAAAAAGCTAAAGTTGCAGGCCTGAAATAGACAGGTAAGAGGAAATGGAAGACACTATGGTCAAAGAATTGACAGCGTGACTAGATGTGAGGGAGTTGGATGATGCCAGTGAGAGAAGGATGCCTGAGGACAGAGAAGATGGCAGGGCTGTGGATGGAAATGCAGCATTTGAAAAAATAGGGCCATCTTAGTAAGAAAAATGACCTCAGCTTTGGAAATACTGAGTTTGAAAGAGAGTCAGCCAGCCAGCAGGATGGAAATGAGGGAGGTCAGGGCTAGAGACACAGATGCAGGCTTTGTTTGGAGAGTGATGTAAAGGCATGATACTGCCAGGGAAGAGGTCATGGAAAGAGAAGTACAGGGATGATCCCAAGGGAACTCCATAGTTGAGGGCCAAAGAGATGATGATGATAAGCCAGAAAGAGAAGCAGGAGAGAACAGGGTCATGGAAACCAAGGGAAGACAGTTCAAAAAAGTAAGGCTTGATTAACAGGAATCAGATGGTAGTTCATTATACACACTGTTGATTTAAATGATTTCTTCTCACATCTGCCAGATGGTATTGTATTTGCAACACAGGTCATCCATTACAGCATATAGCAACACCACTCATCCTCTCTGTGCTTTTGGCCTTCTCTGTAAAATACAGTCTTAATTTTTTTTCCAGCAAAGATATTCCACCCTTCCACATACTTACTTGTTAATAAAAACTACTCATCCTAATTATAAAACTACTTTTTCTAAAACACTAGTGAAGGTTTGTTTGTATAAATATTACTTTAACATTTATATAGTGTTTTCTTGTTCCCCAAACACTTTTCCTGTGAATTCTCATTTGCTCCTCACCGTAATACTGTGAGACAGGGTTGGTATTCTTATTTACAGATAAGAAAATGGAGGTTCAAGGTTAGGTGACTTCTCTAAGACCACAGATAATAAGTGGTAACACTGACATTTGAACTTGATATGAGAATTAAGACTATTTATTCAACTGTTACAAGAAATATAGCCACATTATATCAGTACTCACCTGCAAAGCAAATGGAAGTCTCTGGAGAAACACCACCTTCTCGCTTATAAATCAATTAGTTTTAAAGAGTTCAGTGAATTTAAAATAATGACAGATACAATATGATTCAATTGAAATACATGGACCATCACATTTTGAATGACATTCAGCTCGGAAGCTTGACTAACAAGGAAAGAAGGGAATACCTACCTAAGTCAGGTGAACCAAACATGGAAACGAATGAGGTCTACAGTGTTTGTTCCAGAATGCCGAATCACATGGACTATATGATCATTAGAACCTTAAAAGAATTCTTTGAAATAACCAAATAAACTGTGACATCGATACCTGGAATGTTACACATCAATAGGAAGGAAATTATTGTTACACGAACAATATGAATGGATCTCAATGCTGAGAGAAAGTAGTCAATCTCAAAAGTCACATACTGTATGATTCCACTTGTATAACATTCTCAAAATGACAAAATAGCGATGGAAATTAGATGACTGCCAAGAGGTAGGGATGATCAGGGAGGGAGATTGTTGTGATTACATAGGAGTGAGGAAGATCTTTAGGAACTGTATATTGTATTGGTTACACATGTATAATATGGTTACACCGAACTATATATTTCTTGGCTATTGCACTGTAGTTACTTAAGATGTAACTTGGGAGAAACTAGGTCAAGTGTACATGGGCTCTCGTACTATTTTGAAACTTTGTGAACTATAATTATGTCAAAATTAAAAGTTTTTAAAAAATATCTAGGAGTTGACAAATTGTGGCCCATGGGCCAAATCTGGAGCTACATGTTTTAGTAAATAAATTTGTCTTGGTAAACAGTCATGCCCATTCGTTTGTTTACATAATATATATATTGCTGCTTTCACACGACAACAGCAGAGTAGTTGTAACTGAGACCATATGATTTGCAAAGCCAAAGATTATATGTGGTCTTTACAGAAAAAAATCGCCACTCAGCAAATGAAAATGTAGTCATTAGAAATTATTTTGGGAGAATAACATGGAAAATGTTAATGATATATTAACTATACAGGTCTCTCTATATATGCAGTAATTAACACTGAGTGATAAGAATAAAAGTGGTTATTTCTTTTTCCTACATTTTCTATTTTTCTATAAAGATTTTAAAAATCAGAATAAAAGATTTAAAAAACCTATTTGAACCTCTTTCCCCAACTGCCGGTAAGGTGCTTGACTTCTCTGAGAAAGCCAAGGCTGTGTTGGGGAGGGGGGGGACCCTCAATTCACCCAGCCACGAGCACTATGCCTGGCAGTGCTCGCTAAGCATGTGCCACTGCATGGCCTCTGTCTGGAAGTTCACCCAGATCTACTGGTCCTTATTCCACATGACAATGAGGTGGCCCTGATGAGGTGACCATGACAGAGGCTAAGTTTAATGTCCTCATTAAAGCAGCTGCTATAAATGCTGAATCTTTCTGGCCAGGCTTGTTTGCAAAGGCTTTGACCAATGTCAACATCGAGAGCCTCATCTGTAATGGAGGGGCTGGTGGACCTGTCCCCTCCACTATGGCTGCCCCAGCAAAGAAGGAAGAATCTGAGGAGTCTGATGATGACATGGGCTTTGGTCTTTTAGGTTAAATCTCTTTTGTAACACATTTAATAAAATGCTAAACTCTTAAAAAACACAACCCTTTTGAAAGAAAAGATTCTACAACAATGAGTATCAATTTAGCTATTCCTATCTTTACCCTGGGTCAAGTCTTACTTAGTAGATTATTAAAGTAGCTATTACTTTTATACATTGGTTTATAATCTTAGACATTTTTTTTAAATGAGGAAAGGAAAGTGACTGGAAGTAATGAACAGTTTTGTGTAGCATGTTGACAGTGAAAAATAAGCATTACAAAGATCTCAGTTCAAAATTTTTATAAGAAGCCTGGAGAGGACTATGGTTGTAATGAAATTGGGGGGGAAATTCTACTTCTGACTAGACATTCTCTTTCTGAGTTGGAAAAAATGCTTTGTAAAAACACCTAACTCACATTTCCTTATAAAGGCATGAAAAAGAAATAAAAAGGAAGATGTTTTCTCATTCCCTTGTTAGCAAGTCAAAAAATTCTTAAATCCTTTACAATCCAGAACACGCAAACAGTAGCAATTTTGACACCTTCCAAGGCCATATGGCCAACGTGGCATGACCTCAACTTATTAACTTATCTCAGGAACATAACTTGTGAAACTAGAAAAGGAATGAGTTAGGATGGCAGAGAAAACAGCCCATCAATATTTGCTTTCTCCCCAAGCCCCAAAATACTAGAGTAAACAGACAAAAGGACATAGAGACCCAGAAAAACACAAGAACATGGACAAAAGACAACAACAAAACTGGAAATCTGGAAAGCTGATAAACATGATAATCAACTTGGAGGACTTAAAGCTACATCAAAATCCACTTCCCAAACAGACAGGAGGGAGAATGGAGAACCATTTAGATTTGCACAGCAGTACCCTTCAAAGTCACAGGAACCCCTGGAGCAGCTCAAACCTCTGAACTGAGACATGGTAAATAAGGAAGATGAAGAGACTGCTAAAATATGGAGGATTAGCATGCAAGTTTCCTAAGAAGTTAAGGTTCCTACATGCCTTCCTTTACTCCACAACCCCTGGGTGATTGCCCTTCCCCAGCTGCAGCATAGGTCTACTCTGCAGAAAGGGTGAAAAAGGAGGTCGGTGCCAGCATCAACACCAGGCACAGCTGAAGCTGTGTGTAGGTAGATGTAGATACACACACATATGGCTGAGTCCCAGTATTTGTGTAGTTACATTCCATAAAGTCTCTGTGAGCACTAAGTGAGTAAACACTGGACTTACTATTCTGGGGGGGAAATACAGGGTTAGATTCCTGTGAGCCTCTGGTCAGAAATTGTTATCAATATATCAATACATACCTTGTTTTATGTATTTCTGTTTAAAGAGAACTTATTTAAATAAATATTTTTGATTCAATATCACTGAACTCTGTGCCAACCCTATAACTCATGCTAGAATGAAGTTTACCTAACGGACATATTTTCTCTGTAAGGCACACTGGAGCCTTCCTGTGCTTAGAAACACGAGATAACACTTCAACACTGCACTAAGGAGCTATTTTAAACAGCGAAATCACCAAGAGAAAGTGCACAGACGTGAAAAATGTGACACCCAATGGAACATGAAAAGGACACTTGTTTACAGCATGAGGTGAAACTAGAAGGCTTGTTCTACCTCAGCTGGAAACATGCATGTCCGGTGACTCAACTTTATACCTGCTGCATGCATGTCTGTGAATGACCATGAAAGTGACATGAGTATTGATTTTAGGGTTACAAACTTTAGTGAGTAGGCAAATTTGCAAATAGGGACTCCATGATTGATGAGGATTAACTGTTTATGTATTTGTATGTGCACATGTATATACACACCAGGATGTCCCCCCAAAAAATGTATACACATTTTTAATAATTATTAATTCCAATGGGTCAAGTCTGAAAATAAAGAAACATTAATCGAGTTATCAGAAAATGTAAGTGTGTGCATTTTCTAGGGACAACCCCTACATGTATGTCTATAATCTAGTGATTAACCTCACGAATAGCAATACTGAGAGCAGAGAACACCTTCCTCTACTTGGCTCACAGAACTCTGCTTACTAATCCTTTACTCCCAAGGCACAAAAACTTCCTGGGAATATAACTATTTCATGAGGAAAGAGGGAGGATGCTGACCTTGGGAAGAGTCCCAAACAGCTCATCCAGGTTTCCTTACAATAAAGCTCAAAACCATCAATACTATTCATCCACTTATAAGCTTCTAGTGTTTTCTTCCTCCAATCTTAATCATGGACACAACTTTCCAAAGATACGAGGAAAGTCTCTAGCACAAAAGACCAAAACAAAGCAGTTTAAAGGAAAATTAAACCTCTTGGAAATTAAAAGACTTATTGCAGATATTAAAAACTCAATAGAAGATTGGGAGATAAAACTAGGGAAATTTCCTAGAAAGTAAAGTAAAATGACATTGAAAGGGAGAGAAAAATAAGCCAGTGCCTGTCCAGAAGGCCCTACTCCAAACAATAGGGATTTAAGAGAGAAAATGAGAAAATACAAGGAAGGAAATAAAAACAATTATTTAACATTTCCGGAAGTGAAAGGACACCAGCCCCCTGGTTGAAAGGATGAAAACAGATCTATGCCAGTAAACATCATTGTCAAATTTTAGGACACTGGAGACTAGAAACTCTAACCACTCAGAGAAAAACAAACAAACAAACAAACAAACAGTAACATACAAAGTGTCATGGATTAGGATTTCAGATTCCAAACAGTAAACATAGAGATAAATGGGACAAATCCTTTACATTTCTGAAGGAAAATAATCCACAACCCAAAATTTATACCCATCAATCAAATATGCAGGCAGAATAAATACATTTCCAGACATTCAAGATTTCAAAGTCTATACCCCGTGTACCCTGACTCCAAAAAATTGCTGTAAGATATGATCCACAACAAGGTGAGCAAATAGGCAATTCAACACAGGGGAGAGAGAAGGAAACTCCCAGGAAAACATCTAGGCACTTGCACCAAAGGGCTACCAGTCCAGGATGGAGGTGTGAGATTCAAAACACCGACATGTTGAAGACTGTCATGACTAAGAGATTGACTGTCTTTGTAACCCGAGAACAGTTATGCTAGTACCATGGTCGGCAAACTGCGGCTTGTGTGACACATGCGGCTCTTTGGCCCCTCGAGTGTGGCTCTTCCACAAAATATCACGGCCTGGGTGAGTCTATTTTGAAGAAGTGGTGTTAAGAGAAGTTTAAAAAATTTGGCTCTCAAAAGAAATTTCAATCGTTGTACTGTTGATATTTGGCTCTGTTGACCGAGTTTGCCAACCACTGTGCTAGTATATCTGGCTCCCACTGTGTTCTACTTGGCTTGTCTGAGTATGTCCCAATGAGATGCCTGCTCTCCCCTTCATATTCTGATGTCTAGATTAGCTGAGGATACTCATTTCACTCCATAACAAGGTTCTGCATTGATCTTCTCTTGAGATGTGGGTAGGTGAGCTTAGAAGCAAAAAATATAAAACAAGCACACAACCTTTGAAGATATTTCTACAAGAGATCCAGGATGCTCCAGCTGTGGTGACTTACGTTGCTTGGGACTAACTCATCACCTTGCTCACTAACATCTCCACCTAAGG